TGACTAAAACTAAACTGTACATGTGGAAATTAAATATAAATAGTGCAAAAAGTTTGTGCGTTGTAGGTTGGAGTTTAAACCAGTCTTAGTTTGTTTCAAGCTTTCTGGGGTTTTTATTATGTGTTTGACAGTGGATCTAATGTGCAATTAATAATTCATATTGCAATGCCACAATCAATAACCATGTCAGATTACTCAGCATATTTGAGCCTCTAGATCTGGATAGAAAACTAGGTATATAGCAGCATAAATGCATTTCGGATTCAGTGCAATTCTGGCTTAAGATTTATTGTGTCTAGAAATTGACAGTGTGTTTCTGTTGGCTGGAGGTCAAAAAATGTTCTTGACGCAGATGTGGCAGCGGTGTGACCTATTGGTTTTCTTACCAAACTGTGACCAAAAGGTCAAAGATTCAGTAATTGTTGAATCTATCAGCATCCAGCCACCCAGTGGAAAAACCTTGAGCAAGTACAGTAAGCCTCAAAACAGACTAGTAGGTCACTGAGGAGGTAAACTAAAGTTGAATGTCACAATAATGACATACTGTATTATAGTTTACCTCTGGGGGAAGACGCTTGGTACATGAATATGCCATTTAAAATGTTCCTTTTAAGAAGCACACACATTATTTTGGCTCTAAAATATATGAATGCAACTTCAAGATAGATGTTGCTCATGAATTTCTTCCCCTGTTGCTTTGTAGGTTGCACGAGGCTACATTTTAAATTACTAAAGATCCTTAAGGACATTTACCACGAATACATTCTATCCAGCAGATTTCATAAATAAACTCCTTTGGTTCTAGTGACATGGAAATGAATAACAGTGGAGAGCAGGAGAGGTTTTTGTGCATGTCAATTTCCCTCAGTTGCAGTCTTTTTCAGTAGGCCAGACTCAAATAAGTAGTATTGACTGAGACTGCATCAGACACATTCAGCTGTATCTTGTGTTGTCAGGAATAAAGCAGCTTGTACAGGGGCCTCACCAGCTCACCCAAACCTTCTGCTTTGTACCCATTTTCTCATTTCATCTCATTCAGTCGGTTTTGATCAAACCACTGTACTGATCAAACAGTGCAAACAGAATATCCCTATCCTTGCCAGCATTTACATTGTACTTTATTTTAGTCTTTTTCAGTATTCAGGGTGACTGACAATCAGTGCTACTAAACTAGCCTTTTAGAGAAAAGGGGTTAGTCTGATAATATGGTAAAATTACAATGTCCACCTATTATTTTGTGTTTTATATCCAAAAACTGCAGCAACAAGAACACTGTAATTAGCTGCTGAGAAGCTAAAACTGAAATTACTTAGTGATTTTTTCCCTACAGTGGCTGTTATCTGTAAATGAAAAATATCAAATTTTTCCAACTAAAATTCACTTTGTTATTACATATATCTAAATGAGGCAGCAGGGAAATGAAATATTTGATAGAGGAAAAAAATGTGAATTATTGGCTCAAATACCTTTAAACCATGTATTTAATTGTGAACTAGTTAATAATATTGAATTAAGTCTGATCATTAATATCAATATCAAACTTTCCACCTAGCAAAACAGATATATTCAATGTAAGCTATGGACTGTAAATAATCAAAATAAGACTTATTTCCTTAAACAAACTAGATAAATATTAAGGCAGAGTGCAGTATCTGCCTTTGTTAGGTATTATCAGTGCTTGGCTTGTAATACAAAACCGTATCACAGTATTTTTTTTAAGATTTTTACAGTATGCCACAGTATGCAGGACTGGGCCTTTTTTATATAGGTTTGTAAATGGAAATGAAAACACAGTTTCCTCCGGTATATTGCCTGGTATTGTGTAAGTTGGGGGCAAAATAACCAGCCTAAAAGGACATAAAATGACAACATTACAACCTCTCTAAAAGTTTCACAGTTTGCCATCCAGCCCAAAAACTTTTAAACCCTTTTACCTTTGTAAGGCAGCGCAGTCTCCTCAACCTTTTGCCAAGATTCATATAACCACCTTGGGGTATATTAATCTCTGGCTCTGAAGTGGGTGGTGTTAGCATGCACATGCACAGAGATAGATTGGATCAATGCCACACCACTATTCGTGTACTCAATGTAATTTGTGAGATATTCATCACATGTGTTTTGAAAATGCTGGCATAATGGCATATTACCACTATAAAGACAGATTCAAACCCAAGACTGTCTTGCTGCAAGGCTGTGGTGTTGATGACTGAACTACAATATAACAACATTGTACAATTCATCTGACCTAATTATTACCAACTATGTACCATTTGTGACTCTGTAGCTGTGTGCTGTTGCCTGTCTGTCACAAATACCTTGGTTCAACTCTTCAAAAAACATCCCTGTTGCTTCTTCTCTGTCCTGTGTGGTGTAGGCACCATGGTCGACTGGCACAGAGTGTGTAGCCAAGTACAACTTCCAGACTGCCAACGAACAGGACCTGCCTTTCTGTAAAGGAGATGTACTGACCATCATCGGAGTCACCAGGGTAAGTAGGCAGGTGGCTCGGGATAAATTGCATCTACATGTACTACATCACCCCTTAAAGCCGCTATCGTGGCCAAATGATTGTTATATGAGGAGTGAGTTAAGAGTTAATTGTTTTAAATTGACTTCTTAATGAGGTTGCACAGCTACAGTATGTATTTATGATCATATGTTACACTTAGTTTCCCTAGTTCCCTAGTTACT